ACACACACACACACACACACACACACACACACACACAAACAAACAAACAAGCAAAAAAACAGTAAAGTGCATCCCTTTAAACAATAAATATTTAGTTTTTATAGTGCACAGGTTGAAAACATTTTTTGTTATTTTGTTTTACACAACACCCTAACTTCATTGGAATCAGGGTTGTACATGCTTGTGTGTACCTGAAAGAATCCTGGAGGGACAGGACCCACTGGCATGCTCTCTCCTGGGGGGAGGTTCCCGAGCACAGGGCTCGGAGCTGCTGCTGCACTCTGRAAGAGGCAAACACACAAAAACAAGACTTTGACTCGTCTGGACAACACATCTCTGTTCATCAGAACATATGTAGYCAGGTTTTATTAAAGCATTTTTAAACAAACCTTTTTTTGTAATCATGATATTACTTGTTGCAAAATGCATTCATTTTTTGTGGTACAAATTATATACAATTAAGGATTTTTATACTGCAGTATTGTCTAACAATCTTCTGAGCAGTCACAAATGTTTAGAAATGTTAATACAAATTAACAATCTGAGTGTCCTCCACTGTCTCTCCCTCACTGGGATGCTTCCTGTTTTTAGCAGAAGCTTAGCCATGCTGGCCGAGGTTTATTTTTGGACGTTGTGTGTTTTTTTGTTGTGTTCGTCTCAGACGGGTGGCGCTGGATCATTTCAGCAGGGCCTCTGTCTGCTTCCTGTGGTATTGTGCTGCTAACACTGTGTTACCACCCAGCAACGGCCTCTCCCTCATCCGATCCACAAACACAGAGCGGACAACGAGCAGCACAGGAAGAACGGACATCTATACGTGATTAACTCCAGTTCTGAAAATGTGCRGACATTGTGTTGGATGTAAAACAAACCAAAACCTAATGATTTGCAAATTTTATTAACCCATGTTTCATTCACAGTGTAAACAATATATATATAAATAAATCCAGCAAAGGAGACTCTTATCAAGATCCTGACATCAGACAAAAATGGGACAAATTTTCCCTCCAAACACTCCAGCAGATGGTCTCCTCAGCTTCTCGACATGTCACCGTGGTAAACATGTCCTCGTCCCAATTTTTTGGAAACATATTGCYGCCAAAAAAGTCCCCCCATTTTTACAATTTCTTAATGCTATACTGTATATATGCCCCACTGTGACTAAAATATAGCTTCATGAGTTTCTGGTTTTATTTACATTTACCACAGTGTCCCAACTTTTTCAGCTGCGTTAGATAATATGGGAGCGATCCAGGGCAGCTGTGCTTTCCCTCCACATCTGCTGGATGTTTCTGATCGTCTCCCTCGCTTTCACGGCGTCGGCTGGGCGTAAAGCGCGTTGGTGAAATTCGCCCACAGCCTCTGAAGTTTCCGCCAGCTGACTTTTTAGGTCAGACGGGGAACAAGGTTTAATCAGAGCCAAGATAAAAGCAGGCTGACGACACTGCTGTATCCTCCGCTGCTCCACCCTCGCTATTCCCTCGGCTGCCTTCAGTCTCCTTCACATCTCCCCCATCATTAATGTTCTGAAGCATACAGGGGAGCAGAGAAGGCAGCAACCTTTCAGACTTCGTGTTCTGCTCCAAACATAACTTCTCTCAGCAGATGACTGTACAGATGGACACAGACGGATATTGTAGCTCCACGGTTCCAAACGGATTTGGTTTTGTTTGTGTGTTTTTTGTGTGTTTCTGAGTGTTTAACATCATGCACAGCATCAAGTGTGTAGTGGTTGTGTCCTCCCTCCCTCCCTTTTCTTCCCCTGCTYCCTCGTTCCTTGCACTGTGGATTACCCAGAATGCCTGCGCTCCCCAGCAGCCTGGAGGTCTGCTGAGTTTGCCTTCACACAGAGAGAAAAAGGAGGACAAAGCAGAGATTATGAGTCCCTGCTTGAAGGAGGAAGTGTGTATGTGTGTGTGTGAAACTAAAGTTGTTGAAGGAGGAGAGGGGGAAAAAATAAAATAAAAACTATCTGACCTGCTGACAAAGCAGCATTTCCCAAACAAGACAATAAATAAAAAATAAAAACAATATAAAGCATGCCAGGATATCTTCTAGCCCCCAAACCAAACAAACACTGGATGGAAGRAATGAATCCATTTTAATAGAAACAATTTCAAGATTATGAGAAATCAAACTGAGTCAGAAAACATTAAAATAAACAACAATATGAAGAAACCACAAAGAAGCGAGGGTACAGTTTGTTCTTATGGAACTTTAGATTTACAGAAATACTGTAGTTTTTATAGTGYATAGTATAGTCTAGCATTGAAGAAATTTATAGTTATTAGAGGTTAGTACTGATGTTAAAAGCACAACACTATATTTTTAGGTTTTCCTTTTTGTAATGTTGACAATGTTTAATCTATTATGTTTTGATTGATAATAGATTAGTTACTTGTCCGAATTATATGACAACACATGATCAACCGTTATGATAACATTAGGTGAGAATTTTGTCTGAATGCCTGTAATTCAGCCGTAGGTCAGTAGGGGGCGAACGCAGGCGTTGAAGAAC